CCTCACTCTTTCGCAACTCTTGCTGTTCTTTCGCCAGTAATTCAATCTTAGTCTTGATTTCTTCGATTTGTCTCTCCTTTTCAAATATCTTTTCTTTTAACTCTTGGTTTTCAAGCGTTATTCTATTAAAACGCTCCTCTTCTTCGCGACTCGTCATTGTTTCGTGAAATGTGCCGTTAATTCCGCTTCCATTCAAACCTGGAATTGATATAATTTTACAAATCTATAGTAATTTCAAGTGAAATATTCATTTACCAGCGTTAGGACCACCTCTTCGGCGAACCAACTCAACAACTTTAGGAACAAACACCAAAGCCATTGTCAGAAAACAGCAGAATATGATCGCTAACGCTATGAACGCGAAGTGAGCGTTCACTTGATCTTCAATCACTTGAGACACCGGTCCTGTTATTAGGCATAGTATCTAATATTTCAAGCGATTATGTGAGTGAAAAGAAATATAAACTATTTATTACTTATGAAACACAGGTCTAACAATATATGAATCAAAATAATACTGACGACAACATTATATATACTCATTCCCACGAGTCGGGAATCATTGAGTTGTTTGAGTTTAACACTTCTCGTCTCATATGACAGGAAAAGACCAAATAATAGCAGAAGCCCTTTGTATCCAAATAATATGCCATACCATATGAAATTAGCCTCACAGTGCTCTATACACGGCTGGATCTGTAGGTATGGGTCGTTAATTAGTATCGATTTGAATGCAAATTAAGTTATTTTCAAATCAATTCATTAGTGCAATACTAGGAATAGTAATCAAAGCGAAAATGTTTACTTTAATGTCTTCATCAATATTAATGTCGGGATTTAAAAGTGGGAATGTTTTCACATTCAGTTTGATTGGATCTTTAAAGTACCAAATGCTTAATATTATCAAATCGATTGAGCAAAATGTTAGTATCATTATATATATGTGATTGTTATTTATTTTCTGTAAAAAACATTTAGACAATAATGAGATTTAGATTAGCTTAAAATCTAAACAAACGATTGAGTTATACCTTTCTTTTGCTCTGTGTATGTAAGAGATGACAATACCATATCTTCGCAAACATTGCACCAAAGAATAGAGAGAATCCGATTGACAAACAGAATGCCCGAGCCTTTCATCAAACCAAAAGTTATTTAATTAAGGTTTGCGAAGATATTTAACGTAACGATATTCATCATAATTATAACTTTACATACATTGCAAACAATGATGAAATTATGAAGACCTCCGACGTCCTGTCCGTCCAAACCAAAGAGTACAACAGATATGAAACAGAGAACACATCCGAATAGCATTAGGTTATTGGACGCCGGGTTTGACATTTGGATATAACTGTCGATATAATAAATCAAAAATAGCATTCAGTTAGAGTACAATACAATGAAAACAAGTGTTTTGTTGGGCACAAGTGTATTACAACACTAACCGATATGAATTAAATTTATAATTGAAACAAATGAGCGAAACCGCCAGAAGGACGCCGATAGCGCTGATGACACTCAACGATATGAAGAGCGCATTATTGACGGTCTGTAGCGAACGGACCACTTCTGTCCTGTCCTTCGGGGGTCGGCCGGGAATGACCCACTTTTCGCCGTCATTCCACGTCAAGTTGTCGGTTATGGTGTCATAAAAGCCCAACTGTTTGTACGTTCCGGCAATCATTTGCTCGACAAGAGTCCACGAGATGCGGTCGCCGATGTCATTGAAGGCCACATAACCAGAAACGCCGAGAAACTGTACTTTTTGTAACTCGCTTTTGATAACGTTTGTAATCTGCGGCGACTCGTAATCAAATGAGTCCAACGATAAGCCTTTTTTCGATAGGATCTCAATGGACTTATTGAGAGCGTAAGCGATGGCCCAAATGGCATCGTACGCGAGGGGCGCCTCTTGAAAGCCCTCCTGTGGCTTATTAGAGCCCTCCGGGAAGTACTGCTTATATTTAGTCAATTCTTTCTCATATCTTGTCAGCCAGTCCTGAGCTGTCATTCCTTTACATCAAATCATTTTCAGACAATTAATTAATAAAACAATAAAATAGTAAATCGATGTAAATTACCGGCGATTGTGTGCTGATAGCCCTGATTAAGCATAAGCGCTTCGGTGGTGAAGTGTCCCTCAACCACTTTATGCATCTCATCGAGTGTGCAGTTAATGCCCGACACGGGATGAAACCAATTGGATTCATACCAACCAATGAGAAACCAAACGTATTGTTTGCCGTAAAGACCCGCTTTGTAGGCCTCGCACATCACTTTGCGGGCGTTTGCGCTGTAAAACATGCCAATTATAATGCGGGCGCCCTGTCTCACCAGACTCTTGACCGCCTCAGTCGGGTCGTCCAGAAACGACACTCGAGTCAGAATCTCGATATCCGCTTCTTTACATCTCGTCTCTAAATCTTTTCCCGTCTTTTAATAGACAGTGATTTGAATTAAATATAAATTCATAATAACATACAATTGTAGCGACAATTGGTTTATACATACCGTAACGAAGAGCTCTTCGGCCTCTAATATAATGGATATTCGAGACCAACGAAACTTCTTAAAGAGCTTTATTCGCGTGGGATTATGGATTGTGGCCGACGGATGGGTTCGGAAGAATGTGGGAAAGCGTTGCCGATTAGACAGCGCTGGAGAGGACGAGCCGTAGCCGACAACTATTAAATTATACATTTTGGCCGTTTCTGCGATTCCCGTACACACTATTGAACAGCCGCCTAATATTAACGTCTTCTTTGGCGGTCTGTATATCAGGTCATACAATATAGTGGCCGCCAATCCCGGGTCACACTTATTCATAATTAACATTTCAGTTAAAACATTTAGTAAATAATGATTTCACAATCTATGTATTATTATAATGAGCAAATGTATACATTATAATACATTTTATAATTAGAAACATTGATATTTTAATAATACTATGAGATATTTTTTATTTTAGACATAATATGTATCAAATAAATAATTAAAAATATAGTAATGAATTCGTAAAAATGTATTTTATATAATTGTTCTTATAATATAATAAGTGCTAATAAACCTAAATAACAATATTTACGAAAAGATAATTATTAAAAAGCATTTATTAATGAAATAATGTTTCTAATAATTACAAACCTCGCTATTATTCCACTTGAGGTCTAATTCAAAGCCACTTAATATGTTGGGGTCTTTGTTGACGTCTTGGAGTGCCATTTGGGCGGCGGGAAGACAGCCCTGACCGCCGACCCAACCGGTGGACCCATTCATTGGGAACAGACCTCCGATGTGTATCTTTTTTAATGGAACTGTTGGTAGCGTTTGGGCAGTATTTTGAATATTTTTGGCACTAATCATATTCATGTCTTCATAACTGTTTACTACTGGAGACTCAACAGAATATTCATCAATGGTTTCGTGAGATAATCTCAATAGTGATAACAATAATATTAAAATTGTAACTAAATTTAATGGAAACATTTTTAAATGCATTGTTATTTTATACATATATTAGAATATTATATATATTTTAAGTCTGAGCGAAGTTTCCCTGTATTTATACATCAGTTTTTTAGTTCAGTTCTTCATTGCATTTATTGATCTGATTGTGATGTTTGACTAAAACCTAACCGATTCTGCGTTATCTTCACAGCCTCTTAAAGGCCAGGAAGAGAGAGAGAGAGAGAGACTTTATGTGATGATAAAATTGTGATTTATTCAAATGCAATGATATCTTATGATATTAAATACAG